GATATGAAGATGAAGTCTTTTGTGATGTTGCCTCCATTAATTCAAGCCATCTTCTTTTCGGTCGACCTTGGCAGTTTGATAAACAAGCATTGTATGATGGGTTCTCCAATAAGTATTCATTCAAACACCAAGGGAGAAAGATCGCATTGGTTCCAATATGCCCAAATCAAGTCCATGAAGGCCAAGTAATCGTCAAATCACGTATAGAGGAATGGAAGAAAACTAAAGCCATGAAGAAAGTTGAAAGAGAAGTTTCACGTGAGAAACAAATAATAGTGGAGGGAGATCAGAATGAAAATGAGAAAATTGATGTGAGCAACGTTGGAGTCGAAAATGAAAAGTTGAAAAGATTGAATTTGGGAGCAAAGGGGGAAGTGCGTGTAGAAGAGAAAATGAAAAGATTAAAAGTGAGGTTGTGGTTAAAAGATATGATGGAGTTGAACATGCACAAATCAAAGGAGAACATTGTGAGAAAACCAAGACATTTGGAGTTGAAAATGAGAGTGAAGATGAGTATGTTGAAAAACATGAGCATGAAAGGAACGAATACGAGGAGAAGGAAGTTTTGCTTTATACTAATCAATTTTTTTCTTCTATTCATTCTTTGAATTTGCAGGTTATTCCAAGGGACATTCAAGATGATTCAAGCATCATATCTTTTGAAATTCCAAAAGATGTGTCATTTGAAATTATAAAGAACATGTTCATTAACCTTCAAAGTAAATTCACCTCATACTCAAGATCGAATGCACCTTATAAAAGGAAAGATTCAATGAACCTAACCATGGAGAACATTAAGAGTCCAAACTCATTCATTCATGAATTTAATCCTTTCCTTTCCTTTGATTCTAAACTATCTATTTCTAACTTTGTTCTATTTTTCAGATTGTTGATTCAAAAGCAAAGACTTGAACATGTGAAGCATTTTGAGCAAAACAAACGATGCAAGATGAGAATGAAAGAATTTCCATTCAAACGAAGATCAAAGTTGTTCCCTGATGTACCAAGCATCGATTTGGGGACAAATCACCTTAAAGAAGGGGGGATGATGTGATCCTACCGACCACCAAGTTCAAACAAAACATGCTCACAACTTTGAAGTTCTTCCAAGATGATTCTAAGGGAGTCTTGCCTTATTTTATTATTTATTTACTTATTTATGCATTACATGTCATGTGAATATGTTTATCTTATTCTTATTTATGCTTAAATGTTATATGTTGTCATTTATATGTATAATATATGATATAAATGCATGACTTATTAATTCACATCTTTATATAACTCATTCAATGCATATGAATTCATAGTTAGCTCATTTGCATTCATAACATAGTTGGAAGAATGCATTTATAATTATAATAGCTCAATTCCTATGTAATTATTTGTTTACATACTTTGTCTAGGTTCATTGGATGCTAAGAAGACTAAAGGCAATTGAAGAGTTGGTTGGACAGTTCACGTCAGTCAGATTGATCTACATTTTTGAACATGTTCCAAGCATCTTTGGGTAATTAAGTCTTCTTAACATTTAATCCCCTATCTCGTAGCTTTCCAACGCATTTTGAATCACATTAATACAATATTGGGAGCTTGAGATATACCCAGATTACTGAAGACAGTGCAGGCTGAAAATTAATACGGGATTTGCAACCATTCATCTCCTTCAAAGGACTTATGCATGGGAGGAATTAATGAAGACATGCATGGACGAGAAAAGAATATTAAAATGAATCAGAACATTTGTGAGGAGGTGCAAAGATTCATTCAAAGGCTTTTAAATTCATTCATTCTTGCAAGAAGCCAAATAGTCATGTTCACACAAGGGGGAAGAATTTCAGCCAAGATACATTCATCCATAGAAGACAAATCAACAAGTTCACACAAGGTGGGATGAATTCGGCCAAAGGATGTACTCCATTAAAAGATGAATATACATTCATCAAAATTCATTCACCTAAGCCATGCTTTTGTATCTACTTAAAGTATGAACACTCATCCATGAAGGTTCACTCATTAAATGTTTTGTATTCACACCATGCACTCTTAGGCCTATAAATAGCTTTTCATTCATTTGTAAAAGAAAGTAATTCACTTTGTTAAATCAAATATTTGTGAGAGTTTCTCTCTTTAGTTCTTAAGTGAACTTTATCGACTTATCAAGCTTATGCTTGTGGCGTCACCCCTATCTATGTCACCCTGATAGTTCTGGTTCCTATCTCTTTATAGATAGTGGGTCAAAGTCCTTGTTTACCATCCCTTAAAGAAGCAATATAAAGTCTGGGTCTTTGTTCTTTAACATTGGTTCTTCTTTGAGTCTTCTTTGAGATACTACTTTTCATATTCATATTCATCTCCATCACCTTCATTCTAATTTCATTACCATACTTCATCATTTCTTTTAAGCATATCACGAATTTATATATATTTTCCGCTGCCATATTTATCTTTCCATTTCATTACTTCCATTTAACTATTTTTTTGAGCTTTCTTGTTTATGCATGATCCTTGTTGCTTTCCTAGATCGAAACAATCAAAGGTACAACCTTAACTTCACCATCCATCCAAGTGAGGCTAGGTTGAACTATATCATTAGGTAGCCTTAAGCTCCTCCAGCTGAATCGAGCTTTCCTTAGTATTCCATGAGCTGCCTTGTACTTTGTGAGCTGTTTATGAGCTGCATATGACGTCCAAATTATCCATCAAGCTACCTTAACGTGTATCACACTCCAATGTGCCTATATGTGCAAGGAAACAAGGTAAGTCCATGATATTGAACTGATATGAGCTAAATACCTTGTTGCCATGTAAGATTATGGTAATGTGAGCTATGTTTGAAGGCCATGAGCTAATTATATCATCTCATAATATGTGTAAGATAATGTATGAAGCTTAAGAGCTAATATGAATGCATATGAACTAATGAAATGATTTATAATGATGCTGCCTTGATGTATATATGATAATCATGCTTAATATGATTATAAGACTATCCTAACATGCTTAAATACCAATGTGAATGTTGTGTTCATACTAAGTTATTTAACTACATAACAAGAATTCTTATCATAAAATGTATTATAAAAGCATATAGTATATAACTAATGATGTGATCATGCCAAGGACCAAATGTTTTCAACACATGATCACTTCAAGGACGTTCTACCTTGTTAACTCTGATGGAGTTCTTCCTTATTTCATTATCTATTTACTTATTTATGCATTAGATGTCATGTTAGTATAGCTATGCATATCATGTTTTTAATAAGTTCAACAACTCATTTTAAGCATGTTATTATCTCATACTAGTTTGCATACATATCATTCATGTAGCTAATTTGCATTCATCTTAGTTCCTAGGTTTTAAATAAGTTCACGTGTTGTTTATGTTTAAACATTCACATAATAGCATGATCATCATTTGTTATGCATAACATCATGGTTAGTTAATTCACATGTTTCATCATTTGATTTGCATAAACAACATATTTACCATTTGTTTAGCATGTTTCACGTGCACCCACATTCATATAATAACATGTTCATCATTTGATTACATAACAGCAAGTTTAGTTGCTTTCACGTGCACCCACAATCACTTTTCAGCATGTTTCTTTTTATTATCATTCATGTGCACTCATTTTAGTTTTAATATTTAATTATTTTTAGTTATTATATCATGCATGTTAGCTCATAATAACACATACATGCACAGCAGCAAGATATTTGATTCATTCCAGTGGACAGTTCACGTCACTTATATTTATCACCAGTTTTGAACATGTTACAAGCATAATTGGGAGATTAAGTCTCTTAGCATTTAATCCCCTATCTCTTAGCTTTCCAATGCATTTTGAATCGTGTCAATCCGATACTGGAAGCTTGAGATATTCACAGATTACCGAAGACAGTACAGGCTGGAAATAAATACGGGATTTACAACTAAATTAATCATTCCAGCACATTTAATTTAAATACTTGCTTATTATCTTCTTTGCACATGTAGGCACGTCAAAACAGCCTGGATAAGCATTATAAAGACATAAATAAGTCCATGATTGGAGGAGACAAAGAAACCAGCTGAAATCAGACCCATACTTTGCTGACTATATTATCACTCACGTATGTTGGAGGGAACCCATAATGTTGCACATGTTTCCAGCATTTATTTGCACCAGAATATTATCCATCAAAACAGTCCATGTGCGTATGCTCCTTTCCACTACCCAACCATGTGCGTGAACCAACTAAGCAATTATTTGAAGGATCATACGTGCTGATCATCCAAGGAGACATATACTTTGAAAACAGCCCATGTGCTTGGCACTAAGCTGGATGATGCTTCCACTTAAGCATCAATTTGAAGGAACGTGAGTATTACCTGGCCATGAAGAGTTGTCTCCATTTTACACCGAATCATCACTTGAATTCATGGAGAATTATGAACTGGAATGTATTATTTGTTAGACGTAATAGCTGGCCAAAAACACTATGTGTTATTCGGCTAAGCATTTGAAACAGATTAAATAAGCTTGTAATTTCATTTTGGAGGGGGACTTTTGATAAATTAAAACTTTGTGAGTTATTCTCTCAAATTGGTTCTTCTTAGAACTATTTTCTTGACATTTCAAGATTGTTCTTGTTGTGTTAAGTTTGTGATACTTAGGGTTCTTAGATTACTATCTAAAGGGTCCAAGTCCTTGAACATTGGACGTATAAGGTTCGGGTTTATACTCTTTAGTATAGGTTCTTCCTTGTTCTTTGTTATTATCCAATTTCCAGCATCCTAAATTCCATTACCTCATCTATCAATTATTATTCCTTATTCAAATTTCGTTCATATCCATATCCATATAACCCCAACATCATCCTTACTATCAAGTGAGTTTGCTGCCGAGGAATTGCTTACTTCGTTCTAGATCCGGTACAATCGAAGAGGTCCTCAATCGACGGACTGACCCGTATCATATGGTATCAGAGCAAAGGCGAACCAAGTAAGAAATTCATCTTGAAAATTCAAAAAAAAAAAAAATCCGAAAATTCAAAAAAAAAAAAAAAAAGAAATTCTGGTCTTGAGCTGAAGAGAAATGCTATGATGCTTTGAGCTTTTATTCAATCCAAAACGCAACATCTTTGATTGTATTGGTGACAGTCTCGTTGTAAGCATTTCTTTGTAGTAAGTTTACTAATCACTTTCATTTTTTTTTCTTTCTTTAATTTCCTTTGAATTTTAGCCTTCCTTTCATTATTTTCCCAGTTACCATTAACTTTTGTTGTTTCCTTTAAGCCGATACACTTGACAGATTCTTGAAAGATCGAATTTAGTTTGTAAAAGAACTGACTACGAGGGAACGAGTGGAAAAGGCACATTGAGTGTGTGAGATTAGAAGGGGAGACAGAAAGAGCCATTAAAAGTTTCTCCCGAGTGTAAACACGAGTGTTGAGTGACATTTTAATTATTTTTTTTAGTGAATTCGTGAGATCTATTTTTCATTTTTTTTAATTACTAATAATGTCTTGCACTTCTAGAGACAATTCTCATTTTTCAGGAGGTGACGATGGTCATGCACCAAACTTGGAAATACAAGCCATGACACAAGAGATAAGGAGTTTGTTTCGAAAGCATCTCGACCCAATCTCAAGAAAATTGGACCAAATTATAGAACGACGTTCTTGTTCACAAACGCGTCCAACGAAGATCAATACACAACTAAAAAGGAGAGACGACACTCAATCCTTTTCTAGTTCTACACCTAATTGCAGTAGAAGATCTTACAAAGAGGATCCCAATTTTCGAAACAATGCCAAAAGCTCAACGCTAAGAGAGCCAAGGAATTTTTCATGTTTCAATCCAGAAAATCTAGCTCGTCTTCAAGAGTGTGTTGACAATCTCGTCAAAGAAACACAATTGCAAAGACAACTAGAAAAAGGAAGTGTTTGCAAAAAAGAAGAAGAAATGAGAGTTGAAAAAGAAATTGAGAGCATTGAGAGTGAAAATGAGCACATTGAAAAACAAGAGTGTGGCATTGACGAGATAGTTAAAGAAAAGCATGAAAGTGAGGGAAAAGAAAGTGAAGAGTTGGAAAATTTGTTTTCTACTAACCAATCTTTTCTTCCTACTTATCCTCTTGATTTGCAGGTTATTCCAAAGTCCATACCATGGCAAATTTATGGATCACATTTACCCATTGAAGTTCCAAAGGTTGTAGCTTTTGGTAATTCCCAAAACATGCCTCTTGATGTTTCAAAGGCTATACCACTTGAAGTTTCAAAAGGAACATCACGTGAAGAGCCAAAAGTTGTGATCATTGAGGCTCCAAGTACATTACAACATTTGAAGAAAATTCAACAACCAATGGAGTTTTTCATCATCAAGCAACCAACACCCATCAAACAACCACCTTGGTTTGCTATTAATATTCATCTTGTTAATAGTTTTTCATTTACTAACTTTAATTTATTTTACAGCAATTTGATTCACTTAAGCAGTGTTATCCAACCAATTTATGATGACAATAATATTTGTCATTTTGACTTTGATTGGTACATCAAATCCATCCACCACGACGGTGTTGAACAAACATTGTGTCCCCTCAATGAAATACGCAAAGATACCATATTTGAAGTCAAGAGGTTGGACAATTCATGTGGATCATCTATTGGGGAAAAGCATGAGGAATTAATCCTTCCAACATCAAGAAGGTCTTCAATGACGAACCACTTCGATTTGAGGACAAATCGCTCTAAAGAAAGGGAGGATGATGTGATCATGCCAAGGACCAAATGTTTTCAACACATGATCACTTCAAGGACGTTCTACCTTGTTAACTCTGATGGAGTTCTTCCTTATTTCATTATCTATTTACTTATTTATGCATTAGATGTCATGTTAGTATAGCTATGCATATCATGTTTTTAATAAGTTCAACAACTCATTTTAAGCATGTTATTATCTCATACTAGTTTGCATACATATCATTCATGTAGCTAATTTGCATTCATCTTAGTTCCTAGGTTTTAAATAAGTTCACGTGTTGTTTATGTTTAAACATTCACATAATAGCATGATCATCATTTGTTATGCATAACATCATGGTTAGTTAATTCACATGTTTCATCATTTGATTTGCATAAACAACATATTTACCATTTGTTTAGCATGTTTCACGTGCACCCACATTCATATAATAACATGTTCATCATTTGATTACATAACAGCAAGTTTAGTTGCTTTCACGTGCACCCACAATCACTTTTCAGCATGTTTCTTTTTATTATCATTCATGTGCACTCATTTTAGTTTTAATATTTAATTATTTTTAGTTATTATATCATGCATGTTAGCTCATAATAACACATACATGCACAGCAGCAAGATATTTGATTCATTCCAGTGGACAGTTCACGTCACTTATATTTATCACCAGTTTTGAACATGTTACAAGCATAATTGGGAGATTAAGTCTCTTAGCATTTAATCCCCTATCTCTTAGCTTTCCAATGCATTTTGAATCGTGTCAATCCGATACTGGAAGCTTGAGATATTCACAGATTACCGAAGACAGTACAGGCTGGAAATAAATACGGGATTTACAACTAAATTAATCATTCCAGCACATTTAATTTAAATACTTGCTTATTATCTTCTTTGCACATGTAGGCACGTCAAAACAGCCTGGATAAGCATTATAAAGACATAAATAAGTCCATGATTGGAGGAGACAAAGAAACCAGCTGAAATCAGACCCATACTTTGCTGACTATATTATCACTCACGTATGTTGGAGGGAACCCATAATGTTGCACATGTTTCCAGCATTTATTTGCACCAGAATATTATCCATCAAAACAGTCCATGTGCGTATGCTCCTTTCCACTACCCAACCATGTGCGTGAACCAACTAAGCAATTATTTGAAGGATCATACGTGCTGATCATCCAAGGAGACATATACTTTGAAAACAGCCCATGTGCTTGGCACTAAGCTGGATGATGCTTCCACTTAAGCATCAATTTGAAGGAACGTGAGTATTACCTGGCCATGAAGAGTTGTCTCCATTTTACACCGAATCATCACTTGAATTCATGGAGAATTATGAACTGGAATGTATTATTTGTTAGACGTAATAGCTGGCCAAAAACACTATGTGTTATTCGGCTAAGCATTTGAAACAGATTAAATAAGCTTGTAATTTCATTTTGGAGGGGGACTTTTGATAAATTAAAACTTTGTGAGTTATTCTCTCAAATTGGTTCTTCTTAGAACTATTTTCTTGACATTTCAAGATTGTTCTTGTTGTGTTAAGTTTGTGATACTTAGGGTTCTTAGATTACTATCTAAAGGGTCCAAGTCCTTGAACATTGGACGTATAAGGTTCGGGTTTATACTCTTTAGTATAGGTTCTTCCTTGTTCTTTGTTATTATCCAATTTCCAGCATCCTAAATTCCATTACCTCATCTATCAATTATTATTCCTTATTCAAATTTCGTTCATATCCATATCCATATAACCCCAACATCATCCTTACTATCAAGTGAGTTTGCTGCCGAGGAATTGCTTACTTCGTTCTAGATCCGGTACAATCGAAGAGGTCCTCAATCGACGGACTGACCCGTATCAACTAATATAAAGTAAATTCAATATAAGGATGTTCAAGAGTACTCCCTTTGTAGGTGAAAACGTGCTTGCATCATCCCCCTTCTTTAGGGCGATTTATCCTCAAATCGAGTTCATTCTGTCCTTGCAAAGCTTCACGTCTTCTTGCTAAAAGAAAGCATCCTTTGAACGTTTGTGTTCTTCTATTAGGTATCCTTTCATAAGATTTCCCTTTAGGTGTCTTTCTTTGGAATATGATTTACCAACAGGTACCTTTTGAGAGTGATCTTCCTTTAAGGATATCCCTTTTGGAAGTGACCTTTCACGTGGTTGGTCCTGAAAAGTGAGGAGAGAAGAGGTTTCAAATGAAGAGTTACTTTTCTTTTGGCGATTAAGTCCCTTGGTGAAGAGTTGTGACTTTAAATTCCAACCATCACCAATTTTCATAGGAGACTCTTCATTTTCCAGCCTTGAACCATCATGTTTCTCTATGAAGAAGTTTGGTGTCATGTTTCGTTCCTCTTTATTCTTCTTTGGGGTTTTGTCCTTGCGCCATGCTTGTACACTCTTTTGCATATGCATCTGATCTTGTTGTACCACTTTTGGCATCAAAGGCATCATGGTTACCTTGAGTCCATCATGCTTAAAAATGTATTGATTGTGATAAGAATCATGAATGGCCCTTTTGTCATACTGCCATGGTCTTCCAAGTAAGATGTGGCTAGCATGCATAGGAACAATGTCACAAAGCACCACGTCCTTGTACCTACCAACTGAAAAATGAATAAGAACCTGTTTGGTAACGTTTAACTCACCTCCTTTATTGAGCCATTTAAGTTTATATGGAGTGGGATGCTTTGATGTTGCCAAACCAAGTTTTTCAACCATAAGAGTGCTGGCTACGTTTGTGCAACTCTCTCCATCGATGATCATTGTACAAACCTTGTCCTTGACATGGCATCTTGTATAGAAAATATTATTTCTTTGAATATCCTCTTGGGATGTTTGTGATTGTAGGCACCTTTCAAAACAAGCATCTCACCATGATCAGCATTTTCTTCAGTTTCTTCATCTTGTATTGTTTAAGGTTCCTCGTAAAAAATAGGCTCGTCAGAATCCGATACAATATCTCCATTGTCAAGTACCATTATGGCATTTCGGTTGGGACATTAACTAGAAATATGTCCTTTCCATAAACATTTGAAACATTTGATGTCTCTGGACCTCTCGAAAGTATTGATTTGCTTTTCTTTACCCTTACTAGATTTGCCCACTTGTTTGGTCTTGGTAACTTCTATATGATCCTTTGCTTGTGTTGGAATTGGTTTCCTAAAGGTAATAGGCTCTTGCTTCCATTTGGTGGTCGGACTTGGACTGCTCCTATTGTAGAATTTCCTTTTGAGTTGTCTTTCAATTTTCATGGCCACATGTACCATCTCTTCAATCTTTACATAATGCTAAAGTTCAATAAGGTTAGCAATATCAGGATTTAGGCCAGATAAAAACCTTGCCATGGTTGCTTCTCGGTCTTCATCAACATTGGCTCGGATCATGGCTATCTCTATTTCTTTGAAATAATCTTCAACGCTCTTAATTCCTTGTTTCAGATTTTGTAGTTTATGGTAAAGATCTCAGTGATAGTGAGTAGGCACAAACCTTTTCCTCATAATGGGTTTCATTTCTTCCCACGTATTGATGGGGCGTTCACCATTTCATCTTCTTGAACTCACCAATTGGTCCCACCAAACTAAGGCATAGTCCACGAATTACATAGCAGCAAGCCTGACCTTCTTTTGCTCCGTATAATTTTGGCATTCAAAAATGTGTTCGATCTTGATTACCCAATCAAGATAGGCTTCAGGATCAGTTTATCCTTGAAATGGAGGAATGGTCACTTTGATGTTGCTGAAGTTGTCATTCTAATTTCGATGAGCATCTCTTTGTGCTACTGATGTTAGTTTTCAGCCTCTTCTTCGAATTCTTCTTCAATTCTAGGTCGATTTACTCTTCGGTTGCCTAAAGATGCTTCAAATTAATCCATATGATCATGCAAAGGCTCCAATTCTAATTTAAGTAATTTGGCCATCTCATGCATAATTGCTTGAGTTTGTAAATTAGGGGCTTCTCTTTCGGGGGTTCGTCCTGGACTTCGAGACATGGTTAGTGAAATAAGAAAATAATAAAATGTATAAAAGACCTTACCAGAATGTACTCTCACAAAGCCTCATGAGTCACTCCAAGGAAAACTTGAATGTCACTCAATCTGCTCGTGTTTGCACTCTAGGACTTTAATGGCTTTTATTTGTACTCTTCTGATCTCACACACGCTCTAGCCTTTTTTTCCTCTCGATTCTCTTGTCCCAAGTTCAAGAGGACTTTACTCAAAACTGTATCTAGTAAATTTTTACTTGTTTGGCATCGGCTGCAAAAAGAGTTAGTAGGAATGGAAAGCAAAATATAATTGAAAGGGTGGCTTAGAAAATAGAAAGAAGAGAAACAAAAGGGGTTACTTACACAAGTCACTTCACAACCTTCTATCACCACAATCAATTTAAAAGGCTTACTTAAATGGCTTGGTGATGAGAATTGTTGATGGGTGCTTCAACTTTCTTTCTTTCTTTTCTTTTTCTTTTTGTTCTTTTGGAGTGCTTGACTTTTCTTCTTTTGGAGTGCTTGACTTTTTCTTTGCTAATTTTTTTTATTTTCTTTCACTTGCACTTCTTCTTGTATTTTTCTTTTTGTTGTTGTCGCACGTTGCTTTCTTCCACCAAAGCTCTGATTACCGCTTGATGTAAGGCACTTGTGCCTCTTCAATTGATTGTGGATCTAGGAAGGAAGCAAAACAACCTGCACAAGTGAATGGCTCAAAAAGAGATGGTTAAAGGTGGTAAACGTATAGGTGATTAGGTAGGCTATTTAAATAATAAACGGTGGAAGTGGAAGATGGTTGATATGGCTATGGTTATGGTGATGAAACAAAGGGATGGTAGTGTGGATAGTATCTTGAAGAAGTCTCAAAGAAGAACCAATGCTATAGAGAGCAAAGACCCAGACTTTATATTGCTTCTTCAAGGGGTGGTATTAAGGACTTTGACCCACTAGTTATAAGAACTAGGAACCAGAAGTATTAAGGAGAAAAGGGGGTTTGATGCCACAAGTATTAAAATACTTGATAAGTTGATAAAAGTCACCAGGACTTAAGAAAGAGAATAATCTCACTTATATTAATCAAAAAGGCCTGATTACAAATGATATATGCTTTTCTATTTATAGGAAATAGAGAGGCATGGCCGAATAGTTACAAGGGGATTCGACCAGTGATGTAAGGTGATCTACAGGATTTCCTTGAATTATAAGCTTGGCTGCAACATAGATAAGAAAAGGAAAATGATTAATAAAGGAAGATTAATGAAATGATAAAGATAAGGAATGAAATAAAATAAATAAAGGATAGAGATGGTTGTGGAATTGATGGTCTTGATGGATGAAGATGATGGTGTTGATGATGAAATGGAGATGGTGTTGTTGTTGTATCTCAAACACGCCAAAGAAGAAATAATGCTAAGGAGCACAATCCCAGACTTCACAAACTTGTTTGAGGGGTGGTGATAGTGTCTTCAACCCACTAGATATTAATCTAGGAATTTAGGAATCAGGATGGAAGGAAAGACGCCACAAGTATATGAATTATACTTGGTTAATCAATAAAGTTCACAAAGAACTTTGAAGAGAAATAACTCACAAGAGTAATTTTTATATATGAGATGAGATGAGTACAAATGATGGCAAGCCACTCTATTTATAGGAAATGAGAGGGCTTGGCCGAATGGTTACATGATGTTTCGGCTAGATACATGACTTTATGAAGATACATAATGCTTTAAAATGAAAGAACATGTCTATAGGCTTGGTGTTGGTTCGGCTATCCCTTCATAAAGGGACTTGATGATTCGGCTAAGGATAGAAAGGCATCTCTCTTGACCGAATGGGCATGCTTGTTCATCTTGGCGCCATTTGCTCCTCTTTGGCCGAATGATGATGTGCCTCCTCATGTTGGCGCCACATGCTCTCATGTGAATAGCATGTGTTGTGGTCGAATATGTATGAAGCTTTATATCATGTCCCATGGTGATTTAAGCCTCCAATAATTACAAGGTCTTCATCAGCATGCTCTTAAGATGTAAAGGCATCTTCATGGGCAGCAACATTCATGAAAGGTCACAATGTTTGAGAAAGGTAACCCTTCATGTTTGAGTTACTTATGGTGTGAATGAGCTAAAGTTGAGCTGGCCATAGGTGACTTGTAGCATGGTGAACATTATGACAGCTCCTTGTGAAAAGGTACCTCTTGAGGTGGCAACTATTCGCGAAAAGGTACGATTTCACAAATTTTGACTTATGACATATTTGAAGTGTCCTAAGTGGTGATGATGATGGTACAGTTCCCCAGCTGAAATGAGGTCATCTTGTAGCTCAAATCTTCAGTTCAATCCAGCTATGAGCTCATGGCCTCTAGACCACTTTTCACCAATTTGCTGCTTATGCTTTCTTAATCGTTCCCATGTAAGTATTCTTGCTGTTGCATGCTTCATTTAGCTCTAATGTAGCTCACAAGTATTGGCCGAATGCACCTATATATTAAACAACCTATTATCTAATGGTTCTTTCTCATTAAAAGATTTAAAAACATTAAGGCACTTATGAGAAAGTACTTCCCTGAATTGTTTTGCCTTTGCACGAGTGATAGGTCCTTTAGGCATGTCTTCAGGATCCATTTGTGTTGTTGTGATCACATCATCCTCCCCTTCTTTTGATCGATTTGTCCTCAAATCATCGTTGTCTTCAAAATAGAGAAAGATCTGAAATATTAAAAGTTGCACTTAC